ACCGCCACCAGCTCCGAACGCTGAGCACAGAGATGTACATGCTCGTTTTTTAAGATAGAGTACTGTGCCGGCATGAATGCCGTTTTTTTCTTAAAAGTGTTAGCCAATTTTTATGGGGCCAGTCGATATCCCTGAGCCATCGCCTCCAGTACAGCTGTTGTAAATGAGTTTTTGCAGCCCGTTCTTGGGACCAGATGACAAGATCACTTAGAAAAACAGACACAAATGTAAGATATAAAATTACAAAGTCAATTCAGATTTTTAGGAAAAAAGCAAGATTTCTGCCCTCACATGGGCCCAAACCATGTGTTAATGCAAGAACAAAATTTATCTTACGCATGAAAAGCACACAATAAAAAGTGTTATGGTGAAATGGAAGTCATCCTTCTGAATTTACCTAAATGCTCTACTCTCTAGTAAACATTTATTTTCTTTTTTTATTCTGTAAAAGACAGTCATGTGGCACTCACTAGACAAGGCTGAAATTTTAACAACATGTAGATAAAGTAAACCATTTCAATTAAGCCAAGACACTATGAGGAAAACAAGCCCAAGCAAGTCAAAAACTGAAGGGAAAGTTTAAGGAACCTGTACTCCAGAAATTTTTTTCCCAAAATGTGCTATTTTTTAATGATATATACATTTGCACTCATGTTTGATTTTAAAACCATCAACGTGGGTATTTAACACAGCGGGAACTTGCAAATGATTATGATTAAAGCCTGAGTAACCTCTGATTAAAGTGACTTTGTCACGTGCTACTTGGCGGAAAGCTTGACGTTCTGTCCAGCATTTAGGAGCAGCTTGTTAATGTAAATGCACACTTAAAATGCAATTTCTCCCTTCCAAATATGAGGATGTAACTTACTTAATTGCGGACTACACCTTTGTACAGTCTTGCATTCAGTGACCTCCCTTACATCACCTCTTACTGGCTACAATAAACTGTGGGCCAAGCCATGCTGCACAGCATAAGGGAAAGGGCAAGGTCTCATGTCTCCCAACATGGAATCAGCAGAAGTTCAGGGAACATCAGACCCCAGAAGCAGTGCCTACACATCTGAATCACAATCCCAATTAAATTATTTAAGAAGAGGAGGAATTAAACAGTATTGGTAATTACCTCAGGATAACGCAGTGCATCTTCAGAGATGCCATCATAACCTTGGGCGCAGCCTTTTGCAGCGTTTTGGGCAAATTTCAGAAATTCTGCAACGTCATTCTTTACTACTTCTTTCATTTGCTGGTAGGGAAGGAAAAATGTATTTTTAAAGACAGAATGGAATCCTCTAGGTTAGTATGTAATCAGCAAAATTCCCAGAGAGGTAGCACACGTGGTGGTATGACAGAGTGGCAGAGTTCCCACTTGCTGTACAATTTGGCAAGTCTCTGCTCATATTCAGAGTTTCAGTTAAGCAAAAATTTTTTTGCAAGGCCCATTTCCTTTTAAAAAAAGAAAAAAAAAAAAGCACCCCTGCCCCAACAAACAGCAAGATTCTTTTGATCATACACTGCTGGTTTATAAAATGAAAGGCTACAAGACATTGTGGGAGCAACCTTACATGACAGACACAAAGATAACTGAGCTGTGTCTTCATAAGCAATTACAGTGGAAGTGACAACAACACAGAAGCTACTGATTTCTCTGGGAATGACATTCCCATCGTTACAGGATTTAAAAATAAAAAAAGAAAAGAAAAAGAGGAATAAAACAAGGAAGCATGGGAAAGCAAATGGAATGGCTCAAAAACAATTGGTGATTAATTCCATTACACAGGATTCAACTAAAATGGTACTTCCAACCAATGTGAGACATGGCCTTTCACCATGTAAACAACACTGCTGAGACTAAAGGCAAGTGTGAAGCATAGAAGGTTGAAACACAGGTCCCTCACATGCTAACAAAGAAATTTCCATTACAGGGTGCTGTCAAAGATCCCATCAAAATGTATCGACCCCCTAACATTGTACCGAGACTGCTACACACCATTATGAAACGCTAAAATCATAGTGAGGTCAACTCTTCACTTCCTTCTCATAAAAAAATGGGGGGTGGGGGGTGTGGGGAGTGTGGGGGTGTGCCTGATCAGCTATCAAAGATCTACACTTACTGTCAGTTGTTTAGACTACCACTAAAAAACAAACCAAAAAATCCACAAAAAGCCAATCTATTTTAATAAAATAACTAAATACACTTTAAATTTATATTAAAACTTTTATCCTGATTATTTTAAACCTTTATTACCATTCATAATACTATGTGAAAAGGCAATTATGACCAAGTGAATTTTAAAACTTTTTTGCTACATTTTCCTTAAATATTTTTTTAAAAAAATTAATTGTAGAACTCCCTCTGTGAAGTTTGTATGTAGATACATATATGAACACGAGATAGGTGAGTAATTCTCTTTGACTTGCTGCATTAACTTGAAAATGCTTTATTTGTTTTGAGTACTAAGTCATCGGATATAAGTGCGTCTTCCGCTCCTTCTCAGTCAAAGAAGAGGTAAATGGACAGGAGAGTCTAGGTTCTGGAAAAGGATGATGGTCAGTTGTGCTCTTAGCCTCCACCTCAACTGGACCCGCAGCCTGCCTGCTACAAGTCTGTTTTCTAAAGAGTTTGGCAATGCCTCCACATTTTTCTTTGCCTTTCTGAAAGAAAAGGAATAAATGAAAGAACTTACATTTTTCACATAAATATTATTGTTTGTCAAAATTAGTAAAGGCAGTCATGCAAGCCTAACCTTCAAACCCAGCAAAATGCACGGTGAGATATCGTACTCCTCCAATTCCTAGTCTATGCCATAGGAATTTGCTTATTCTGAAACTCCACCTGGACAATCACACTAACTCTTGCTATCAATAGCAGGTTTGCCGTTGGTTTAAAGATGAAAACAAAAAAACCCTCTCTTTAAAAAACAAAAAAAACCACCCAAAATCAAAACAAAAGAAAATTCTGTATATATTAGGCAGTATACTCAATTTTGAGGTGACAAGCTAAATATGAAACTGATTCTTTGTTCTGGAAACTCGCATTACCAGTGCATTACCAAATTTATTATCAAAAATAAAGAGTCTGAACATTACATTATTCATTGACAGCTGGTGTTCAGAAACAGCTTGCACTCAGAAAGGTCAAATTTATCAGTCAAAGTTATGACGGTAAATACAATGACAAAAAGCCTTTCACTGTAAAAGAAGTAAATGACAAGCACTCAGTTGTAATAACATAAATTCTGGATTTCAGTGAAGACACTCCTAAAACCAGAGTTTCATTTTCCACTCTAAACAACACTGAAATCAGTTTCAAAAACAACGTTGGGCTAAGGCAAGGGATGTGGCTGGCCTAATGACAAGAAAAAAGTCACATTATAAAGACGGTACTTAAAACATCTGAAGTATATGAAGGCCATCTTAGCCCTGCTCTATTTAAAATAGCTGTTCTTAGGAGAGAAAATATTTAAGGTTAGCAAAATTAACATTAACTGCTGATCTTGGAAAAAACATATTTTTAAGATAACGATTTCAGCAGTAGGAAATATCCCAAGTGTTATTCAAACCAAGCTCTATCACATCCACAGTTCTTAATAATGCTTCACACTGTCTCTCGAATATGAGAACGTGTCCATCCTCACGGCACAAACTGGCAAATTTCATTAAGCTGCAGCAGCAACAAGATGCAGACTCAGATACGCCAATGTAGGAACACCAAGGAATTCTAGCAGCTTCAAGTGGCTATATTCAGCACCGAACGAAATGGCAGCACATCAAGATCATTT